GCAGCCTTTTTGGCACCTCTTGCTTTCTCAGGCTGCGCCTTCCAAGCGACACTGTGAGAGAAAAGCCACCAACGTCATCTCCCCGCTCCGCCCTGGCCAGGTGAGCGCAGGAGCCTTTCCCATCCCTGTCCGGGCTCGGTTTGCTGTGTTTTGGTCCTGGCCGTGAGGGTGGCGGTGCCTGTTCTGTTCAGACCTCAGTCCAGCACGGCCCTCAACAGCGACGGCAGCAAATCCTCCCGCGGCGCCGGTCGGCACGGTCGGTCTCGGTTTATGCACACTGTTGCCTTTCTGGTTTTCTTCCTTCCCCGTTTTTTGCGTTTTACCGGAGGGCGCGGGGTGGGACGAGCACTAGCGCAGCGACTGCCGTGCTTCGGCCGAGCAGTGGCTTCCTGCGCCTGGGACTGGTACCCTTAAAGAGGTCATCGCCACATTCCTCCGTCAGCTGTTGCCTGTCCACGACTACCCGGTTTCAAAACTTTCAAACGATAGTGTGCCTGAAACTAGTGAGATAAAAAAAAAAAACTATTCTGTAAAAAATGGGGGGGTCTAGAAACAATATTTGATGTGTAAAAGACTATATTATTAAAAAATTATTTTGTTAAATATAAAGTGTGTGAACCAGCAAAAAAAGAACCCCAAAATTATATATTTGTGGTGTATTTTCCTCCGCTGATCTCCCCCCCTCAAGCTCCCAATTCCCCCTCTCACCCCTTGCTCCAGCCCCCCCGACTCTGCAGCGTCAGCGAGTGCAGCAGCACATCTGGGAGCGGCTCCGAGCCTGGAAGGAGCTGTGAAAGGCCTACGGATGGGGTGGGTTGCCCAGGATGCTCCTCAGCAGTAAATCAGCAGTAAATCAGCTTGGCTTTGTCACAAGACACCTGCCAAACCGGGATTCCCTTCCGGGGAGCAGTCGGGGACTGACACAACTCCCCGGCTCTCGCTTCAAGCTCGGTATGTTTTTGCTTTTTACTGGTGCCATTTCATGTTTGGTGCCATTGCCTGAACATGGAAATTTGCTTTCAGTTCACAAAACTCCATTTGGTACCTCCAGATGCATCATTATTTACACTGATTAGTAGTTACTCTAATTAATTACAGCTTAATTACTGTAGTTAATGTTTGTACAGTGCTTGGAACAAGTACAGCACTATACGTGCCACATATTATTATTTTCTTTGTTATTAATTAAGCACCATCTCCATTCCGTGCTGTGCTACTTCATTACTTCCCAAGGAGATGCAGTAGCACCCTTCTTCCCACCCAGGAGTACTTTACTGCCGGCTCCTACCAGGATGCGGTGCTGGCTGCCGCGCAGGACGGGAGCAGGAAGAGCAGTATCTACTGAACAGCATGGGGATGCTCGTTTTGCCCTTCATCCATCCAGGGCATGGAGTCTTAAATCAAAAGGGAAAAAACCATAAGCTGATGGCAGGGGGACACCCCAAGGACCATGCCCGGTGAGCTGGAGTGTGCTTGGGTGAAAGGAGGGGGAAGCCCTGCAGATCAGAGAATCACGGAATGGTTTGGGTTGGAAGGGACCTTAAAGCCCACCCAGTTCCAACCCCCCTGCCATGGGCAGGGACACCTTCCACTAGACCAGGTTGCTCCAAGCCTCATCCAGCCTGGCCTTGGACACTTCCAGGGATGGAGCATCCACAGCTTCTCTGGGCAACCTGTCCCAGTGCTTCACCGCCCGCGCCGGGAAGAATTTCTTCCTGATATCCAATCTAAACCTCCCCGCTTTCAATTTAAACCCGTTACCCCTTGTCCTGTCACTACAGGCCCTTGGGAAAAGTCCCCCCCAGCTTCCTTGTAGCCCCCCTGCGATCCCACCTCAGATGTCTCTGGAGGTCTCCAGGAGACGCCAGCTCAGGCTGTAAGAGGGATCTGATCCCCCCAGATCCAGCAGCATTAGGCACGCCGTCCCGCTGAGCGATCCCACTGATCTCCCTGTGTGCCGAGGGCTGGGGTCGCGGGGAGGAGTGGTGGGCACAGATTGGATTTCCTGGGGCGTTGGGTGGAAGAGTCGCCGGTCGGGGGGGCAGCATTTCTACAGCACCAAGGGACCCGGAGCAATAGTCCCAAAACCCATCCCTACCAGCACCGCTTCATAGCGGCACTTCTCAGAGTGGATCCCGAATTTAAATCCCATTGAGCTCTGTCCAGATACACTATTTTTTTTCTGAACCAAAGTTTCAGCCTCATCTCAGTCTCCTTCCTTTCTGCACCCTTTTTTTTTTTTTTTTGTAATGTTTTAGTTCATTTCTCCCTTTAATTAATCACAGCTCAGGGCCAGCCAGACCCATTAACTACTCTTCTCATTTAGACCTTTCAGAGATGCAGTTGCAGATGCAATTTAATTTGTTGACCCATGATCGATAGCAATTAATACCATCTCTTTAATCTTGTTGAAAGGTTCGTCTTGGGCTTCCAGAGGCTGCCATCTCGAGGGAAGGGTGTCTGGTACAGGTGGTGTTAGATGGGGGAGCACCACCTCCTCCGCGGGCACCGTCCTTCCCGTCCCCCGGGGCTGACGCTCTGGAAAATACAAGAGGCACTAGTGGGAGATGGAGGAGAGGAGGAGGAGGTGGACAAAGGTGAGGGAAGATGCTGAGGGGTGGAGAGAAGATGCTGAGGGGTGGAGAGAGGAGCAGGTGGCTTGATAGGGGAGAAAGCAGGGGAAGGAGGAGTTGATGGGTTGGAAAGATGAGGGATAAAGAGGACAGCATGTGGAGAGTTGGAAATGCTGCAGCCTAGGAGACATGCACAGAAAAGGGAGAGAACAGCTCAAACAGGAGGAAAAGAGCGGGTGGGAGAGCGGGTGTCTTAGAGGCAACACCGTCTGCAGGAGTAACAGTGAACTTTGCAGAAGAAACAAACCCAGGGTCAGAAAGGCTTCGCACCTGTCTCACGTTGATGTGATGCCATTTTTTGCTCCCTCCCCAAGTGCAGCAGCTGTGTACAGCCTCCCTCCTACCCCCAAGGACTGGGAAAGCCCACTCTGAGAGCACGGCCTTTTCCCCATCCTCATTAATGTGCCCTTTCCTGAGATCAGTTTATTATTATGGGATTATTTCCCGCACAGCCCAGGGGAAGCTGTCTCAGCCCCGGCTCACCTGCAAAGCGTCAGGACATCGTTCTCCCCCAGGACCCTGCAAGGCACGTGCAAAACTCGGCTAAGGCTGGGAAAAACCTGGCCTGTGAGTGCTCTCCATCCCTCCCAGACAGCCCCAGACGGTACCAGGATGCTGATCATCAGTGTCTGAGAGCAGCGTAGGACAACTTCAGTGGCACATAATGAGTCGAGTCCCACCTGACGTGACCATCCCCTGGCTCGGCTCTCCCGGACGGCAGGAACGCCGGATCCACTGCAGCAACCCCTATTCAGGCACAGCTCCGCTCAGCGTAAAGGCAAAGAGTAAATCCTTGGCTTCCAGCACAGCGTGAGCAATGTGGTGGCTGTTAAAGGGGAAAGAGGGCCCATGTGAATGTATAGCGAATGAATGCCTTTTATATAGCAATATCACATGGTTTTGCAGCAGCATGTCAATACAGAAAATGAAAAATTCGTCAAAAATCCACCTGTCTTTGTAGTGTGGAAAGTTAGTTTTTAAAACACAGGGATTCGAGCGCACGGAACTGAAGTGAGTGCCATATTTACATATTTAATAAGCCAGATGTGTACATTTGTATTTGCAGATATACCTCCTAC